AGGGGCACAGTTCTGCTTGAAGTTAACGTCAATTTACCGCCCCCCCGCCCAGCGACCGTCCTCTCCTCAGGTGTGAGCAACCTGGGCGAGCTCGGCGGGCGCTGATACTTCTGCGGAGAAGTTGGATGCATCAGGTATGGAGAGGTGTCGGGTATGCCGGGAGGGCGTCACGCAGCCGCTCACCTGCCCACCCCAGGTTATCGTGGCTTTAGCTCAAGGCACCTCTCATCAGCTCCAAGTCTTCTGCAGAAATGTCGCACACTGCCACTGTTTAGCTGCCACAAACACAGCATGGTCAACTGTCCTAGCTCTGTTTAGCGTAAAGATAAAATGAACTCCTCAGTCAACAGTATCTGTTACTTATAAAACACTACCAGCATCCATGGGGTGGAAAAAATCCTCATATTGTATGCACCTACTGGATTTCAAATACTGTCTACTTTCCCTCTTCCCCTCAATGCCATCGCCGATCCAATTTCTGTTCTCTCCTGTGATGCTGTTCCAAGGGAGGTCAAAATCCATATATTTTGTCAGACATAACCTGACTTGGTATCCTATGTTACAGTTAAACTATCTGTTGCAAGCTTTATCCAGATTTTTAAATCCAGTATTGCACATTCTACACATCCTCATGAAATACATGATTTGTTTGTCTTTGTAACAGAAGGATTTGATGTGACCCAACAAACCAATGACATTCATAGCTAAGGCTGGCAATAACTTCCAAGGTGGCAGTCGTTTTGGATAAGTGCCTGACTTACAACAGTCTAAACGCTGCAGTGATTTCCCTAAGCACAAGGAAAATAGAAATTTTGTTTGTCAAAGTCCCCTAGCGCACCAAGTTCACCCAGTCATTATGATCAGCATTAAATAGCCACAGGTTATTTTAAAGACTTGCCATGGACTTTTCGCGTAGTTTCCTGGCATTTCCAATGTAGTTCATCTCATTTTGATTCAAGGTTGTTAGCACTGCACAGAAAAGTAGGGAACAGAAAAACCTACTGACTTCCCAAGGGAATTATAAGTAGTGACTTTTCAAATCACTAGCACAGACACACTCTTGGAGGCTAGAGGTATTTTCTAAATATGCAATGTTTCCACCTTCATTTGCTCTTAGCTAATATAATTTACTATGGTTTTCTTCTTGCACTGAAGCATGAGAGAGTTTTGGTTAAGCAACAAGTAAGTTGAGGTCTTCAGCTGAGTTTACAAAAACAGCGCAAGGGATTTTTATTAAAGTACATGGACATTGTGTGGCTGTAAAACCACTGAGATTCCTTGCCCTGACACCAGGCAACTAATTATATTATCTACAATGGCCTTAAACTATTTTTCCTAGATGAATAATATATGTTTGCAAAAATAAATAAATGTTCAACATAGCTCCAGTATTTCATTTTCCCCTTCATTTCTCATGAACAAAGGAATTATAAGTACATTTGCTGTATGTGTGTGTCTGTGATAGGTAGCTAGACAGACAGATGGGCTGAAAAGTGAATGATTGAATGGCCAGAGGTTCATGTACCTCTGTGCACTAACATCCGAGCAAGTGGGCAGCTGAAGTCGTTTCAGAGCCAATGAGACATAACCTTGCATCCTATTTTTTTCTTCTTGACTTATTTTAATTAGTATATAAACAATGGCAATTGTTTTTATTTTAGTAAAGTGTCAAGGGTTACACAGGATGGTCTTTGCCTCCATGGACAGAATTGCCGCGTGCCAAAGGATGATATGTTTTTCTGAGTTCTCCCTGGGTGAAAATATTGAC